CGTACATACACACATAAATTCGTACATATATACATGTATATCACTGCTGTGAAATATTAACTTTGTATACTTTTAAGATTTTGTGCAAATGTACAAACATTATGTTGCCGACTTTTAGACTTAATGAATGAATATAAATTAATGTATACTTTCAATATTGTTTACTACATACATACAAACTAATACACAACAGAAGAAGTATGTGCCATGAATTTCACTTAAGAATAACATTTATGGCCTTGATCATGTCATTGGCCATTATATAAACAACAAATACAACAAACAACGTTAGACAACCTTATAAATTTTATACTTAATTCATTATATTCATTGAGAGACAATGGGACTATTGTCTCTTGCCGCCTAAAAGTATACAAAAGTAACAACTGTTAAATTTTGTAAAAAAAGATTTTTAAAGAATCCTGAGAAACAAAAAAAAGTTTACAAATATTTTCAAGAGGTGCAACAAGAATGTACAGTAAGAGAAATTTTCGACTGCAGAAATATTCTTTATTTTAGATAGAAATATCTTCATTAATTTCTATTAAACCGTATATAATAGAATGTGAGATATTCAACAGAAATATTTAAAAAAACATTTCGAATATTTTGTTAAAGGTATTTCAGATGCAGATGTCCTTGACATTTTTCGCATTTAATTTATGGTAACCCTTATTATTCTATGCCACCTTTTCTCTTATTTTCATTTATTATTGGTAAAACAAAAGAATAAATAAAAACATATTCTTTTTTGTCGACTTCAAAGATTATCTAAAAAGCGTACGTGATTGTAATGCATACTTTAAGGCTTACCATAGAACAAGTTCATACTTTTTTTGTTTTTTTTTTTTGCAACTAATACCAATCAACTTAGATATTTATGATATGTATTTAATTCGGTTATGTCTTAATTTTCTACCATAACGAATATAAAACAATAAAGTTTGACAACCATATAAATTACATTGCTAATTAATTAGATGGCTTTGGTATAATGAAGCCTAAAAGTAGGCAGAACATGTATTTTTTTGGAATATAATTTAAAAATGTATGACCAGCAGCCTTGAAATATTTAAAATGGTAGGAATAATTTAGGATGATGTTTGTTTTTAATACTAAGGTGATTATTTGATGCTGATTCCATAAAAGTGTCTTGGCATTTTTGCTTTTGGACAATAATTGAAAATGTTCTGCTTATTGAAATGGATTTTGTTGCAAAAAGTGTCAAGAAGCCATGACAAGTTTTTTGTATTTTTTTGCATATTTTTAGGCCGCAATATTGTTTGAATTAGTCGCTTATAGTCTATTACACAAAAAGGATAATTTCAGTTACGGAATGGGGATATGTCAATTTTATGTTGTGAGGGTATAATAAGCGTGTGACGTTTAAAATATGACAAAATATTGGTACTAGGCCATATTTCGATCGTCGTATTTCTATTGGAGAACTGTTTTGCCTGGCGTCATCTGACTTCCCATTGGAAAATTTGACAATTTTTAGCAAAAACGTACTCAGTGCGGTTTAACGTACGACCATGTGTTGTGTTGCATATGATGATTGGAGAAACCAATTTGCCAAACAAAATCGAATTAATTTTTGAATATTTTCATGCAACAACTTCGGCGTGAATCAATGAACTCATGTCTTTGTAGGGCGATGAAACGCCATATTATGGTACAGTGTACATTTAATGAATTCAATCGCGATCGACGCTCATTGTGTTCGAGAATGACCTAATTTAGTACGCGGTGCAAAATTTTGTCTCAATCGGATAAATATTGGCAGTATGTTGCTCCATTTACATAAAATCGGACGAAACTATATATAGCATATTTAGATATAAATCTGAACCGATTCCAACAAAATTTCTCATAATTCAGTACTCTGTGCAAAATATTGCTTTAATCGGACCACTATTCGGAGTTTGGTGCACTATTTACATGAAATCGGAAACTATGCCAAATTTCATACAAATCGGATCATAAATGCGATCTGTACTTTGTTAACAAAAATACATGGACGGACGGACGGACATGCATATATCGACTCAGAAAGTGATTCTATGCATATTCACAAAAGGAACCATGGGTCTATCTCGATTATTTTTGTCTGTTACATACATATGCACAACGACACAATACCCTGTACCACAGTGCGGTGAAGGGTATAAAAAGGTGGTTATAAGGGGACCACCCCTAAAAGGAGGTGAATATTAGTAATTTTTAGGAGGGAGGTTTGTTACCATATACGACTACAAAAAACCAAATTACAATGAATTTGGTTGAAAAACGCGTTCATGAACCCCAAAATACCGAAAATTGGGGGGTACCCTTATATGGGGGCTACCCGAAAAAGTGGACCTATATTTATTATTTTTAGTGGAGATATTTGCTACCTACTAAGAACTCGATGTACTAAACTAAAGTCAATTCGGTCGAAAAATACGATCAGAACCCCCAAAATACCAACAATTTGGGAGTACCGTTATATGGGGACTACCAGAAAAACTGGAACTATATTTATAATTTTTAGTGGAATAATTTGGTACACAATAAGAACCGAATGTACAAAATTTCAGAGAATTCAGTTATAAAACGAGCCCAAGAACCCCAAAATACCGAAAACTGGGGGTACCTTTATATAAGGCCTACCCGAAAAAATGGACCTATATTTATAATTTTTTGTGGGGACATTTAGTACCCAATAAGAACCCAATGTACCAAATTCGGTTGAAAAACGCGCTCAAGAACCCCAAAATACCGAAAATTGTTAATTATATGGGAGCTATGCCTAAACGTGGACCGATTTTCTCCAATTTCAATAGGGTTCGTCCTTGGGCCAATTAAGTGACCTGTGCAAAATTTCATCCAGATCGGATCATAAATGCGACCTGTACTTTGTTAACAAAAATACATGGACGGACAGACAGACGGACATGCATAAATCGACTCAGAAAGTTATCTATGCATATTCTCAAAAGGAACCATGGGTCTATCTCGATTATTTTTGCCTGTTACAAACATATGCACAAAGACATAATACCCTGTACCACAGTGTGGTAAATGGGTATAAAAACAAGTAAAATAGTGTCAGTCGGTGTTGCCGACACCCTCAGCCTAAGGTTTGTGGAGATCTTTGGTATTATACACAAGTTTTTATCAAAGCGGTTTCGGATTTAATATTGAACAAATCGGTTATTCAATTCGTTTTAAAAAATTAGAAGATTATAATATTGACCATTTTTCTGGGAGATACCAGAGAAGAGGACAAACGGGTCCCATCTTCGGACTTCATCTAGGCTTGTAAAGATAAAACGTTATGCAAGGTTTGGTTCAAATCGGACATTCCATTCGCCTGATATTGGATTTAAAAATAATGCAAACTTTGCCCTTTGTGGAGGAGGTACCAGAAGAAGTGGACCAATAGGTCCCATCTTCGAACCCATTCTGTAACTTAACTTCGGCCCATTCTGTAACTTAAAAAAAAACAATCAATATTGTTTAAATTTTGATATTGTAAAAACAACAAAACAAACAAATGAAATTGTTTGAAAATAAACAATGTCGAATGTTGTTAAAAAGTTACAGAATATGCCCACTGATCTAGGCCTGCTAAAGGCAATTGGTTGTACAAAGTTTGGTTCAATATTTCGATGAGCCATACTTTGTGTATATACCCTCATTACCCTTAGGGCGGGGGGCAAAAAAAAATACAATAGCGGTGTTTCAAAAGACTTGTACAAGATCTTCGGTATATGTCTAGGATCCGGAAACTAAACATTAATCGACAGTGTGGTTTTTCAAATACGAGCCAAATCCAACGAAACTGCTCAAATATCGAGTTCCGCTTGATCAAAGTAGTACGGTCAATTTTGAGTGGTACATCACTAATTGTTTACTCAAGATTTCGGAGAAATTCAAAAACTAAGAAGAGTCATCATTGTACAACAGTGCGAACCCTGAACAGAGTCTTTTTGATCGGCATGAAATTGGTGGATCACTTGCCGTACATCCCTGACGACTTGTTATTCCCTATCGTCGCCAGTAATCCTGGTAGTTTCAATTCTGATCAACGATAACTATTTTTTGTTATTCATAAGTGTTATTGAACCAATTAATATATATATATATATATATATATATTTTATTATTTTATTTATATATTTTAATTCTATCAAAAAAGTTGTGAAAAAATATTGAAAAATATTCTAATCCATTATCGAAATACCTTGCCACCATGCACAGTATTGAAACATAAAAGGAACCCGCTGATAAATGACACCCCTTTAATTATAAAACTCCTTTTCCTTCCCATGCCTCTTGTTTGTCTCCTTAAATGATACTCTTAGAGTGTATTACCGTTATTGAACACAAAATTGGTGAATAAAAAAAATGTAAATTGTGATTTAAAAAACACCATTGTTGTGTATTGGAATTCCTAAAGAAGCCCTTCTCTTACTCTCTCCTTAAAAAACGATATGTATTACGGATAGTAAGTATCCTATTTCTAAGGGTAAGAAATCAGATATCTTTGTTGTAGTTCTTCTTATCAAGTTTATTATTGTTGTTTTTTGTTTTGTTGTTTTCAATCAGAAGCCGTTTAACTGTTACCTTTTTTTTGCATTCGATACTGGCAGAAATCTTGACAAGGATATTGTCTACATAACGGATGTTTGGGTTTTTTCTTTCATTTCATTTGCTCCCATTGATTTTGTTCAATTCAAAAATATGGGAACAACTATTGAAGAATGTTTGATGAAAAATATGGAAGGATAAGAAAAAAATATCAAGAATAACATAAACATATTTTCGGAAATATGTATGATATTTATTAAAATTGAATTCATAGCAAAAAAAAAAGAGGTTTTTATTGGATTTGAGAATATTAAAATTTGTATAATTTATAGCGTTATGTAGCGTTGCATAATATATTAAATTTTCCTTAATATTAAAAATAAAATTGTAAATTACAAAAAAAAAATCATTAAATTGAAACTTACCAAAGCATTCGGTTTTCCGGTACGATCATCAACCCACAACAATACCATATCCGCACCGGACATACGTCCAGATTTTCTCGAAAATCCCAAACCAATGAATCCCTGTGTATTGACGGTGACACGAAAATAAATATCCTTCGCTTTGGTCCACCATTCGAGCCAATATAGCCCATTTGAATCCATCATTTCCATGCGATGCCAATTGCTGTGATGGACTCCTGCTGATTTGGATGTTGTATCTGTGGCGCCGCCAGACTCTGATCCAGCACCACCACCATCTGTGCCAGTGCTATTTCGAGCATTATGATGATTACTATGATGTAATTGGTGACTGCTGGTGGCACCATCATGTGGCCAAGCAATAAGTGCATTGGGTGGCCGAATGGCTATTAGTAGATATGCCATTAGAAACAAGTGGCAACGGCAAGTTAAAAGGAATTTCATTTTTGTTGTTTCTTTTTTAAATTGATTTTAAAATATTTTAAAAATATTTCACTGGGTATGTTAGAGGGTTTTTTATTAAATTTAATTACTTTGTAATATATGTGAGATCATTAATTTTCTTGACTTAATCACTTTTTTTGTGCTAACGGCACACTGTGTTGCTGTTAATCCTCGGGCTGTACAGCTAACAGTGGCTGTTATGTTATTCACACTCGCACACTTTCGCTTAGGTATATTCTATCGATCGACCGACCCTTCGTTCGTTCTTCTGATCATAAAGGTAGCGTTAGTAATGATATCGTAAATTGATCGTGTCTTCACGACACTCGGCTTATACGAACGTTAATAGCACGCGTAATCCCGTATCGTAAAGTATGCCTGTCCTTTTTAGCTATCCGTGTGTCGTGGTATGTGTTTCATTGGGTATAGGTGTTGTTGTTATCTCTTTACCGTTTATCAGAGACGCAGCTGTCGTCGTTTTTGTAACTTCCGAAGAATAAAGACAACGTTGTGTTGTTGTCGTCGCTTTGTTGTTGGTAGTGGTGGTGGCACAACCGCGATATCAGGCAAACGGCAGTTGTTTTATTTCGAACCGATCAAACAAATGCGCCTGCGCACACCTTTTGTTTTCGTTTCGTTTGGCCTTCCTCTCTGTATTTTTTGGTTGCCCTAGAGAATTTGTGGCATATGTCTGCCCGTCTGTTCTGTGAGGGGTTCTTATTTTAAATAAACACACACATGGACTTGAATACTAATAATGGCACGAATAGGGGTTGTTTTTTTAATTTCACAATTCTAATATTTAAAAATAACTTCACACTCAGAAATTTCGAATTTTCATAAGTAGGTATTTCCTTCAAACAGATATTGTAGCATATATTTTTAATATAATTTATTAAATTACTTTTAGAAATGCTTTATTTTCAATTCAACACTTCATTTCTTAAATCCACATTAAATTTTTGCGCAAAAAATAACTCGTTTTATTTTCTACTGTTTTCTCTTTTTGTTGTTATTGCAATTCACTTCAATTTTATTTCCAGCAACGCATTATCCTTTTTTGCTGTTTTTGTTTGTGGTTCTCTTTATTTTCGATTATCGCCTGCGCTATACATCCTTCGCGTACGCTTATCCCTGGCTAAATGCTCCGGCTGTGCAATGGCATAACTCGTTTGACCTGAAAATGGAATGGTTGTTTATTGTACCATTGCTCTCTCCCACTCTCTGTGAGAGAGCAATGTGCTCTCCACGATCTTGCTCTCTCCATTTGGAACAAAATAACTCCATTTACGCTCTCTCTTCATCAATGTTGGCTTGAAATGCGTACCTATGCAGCTACCTGGTTGGAAAAATTCTTGCCAAATGTTCGCTTGTGCCATAAACAGATTACCTGGGTATGGTTAAGGCAAGCTGTTACCGGAAAATACCATGTGTCAAGCCAAGAAGGTAATAAAAATGGTAATGTCAAATAGTTATTACATGGAATTCAATTTGTAATTATTGTAATAATTTTGGAAGTATGTACATTTGTATTCGGAGGGTATAGGTGGTATCATTAGATTGAAATAAGATTGTTTTCGTAGAATATTAGCATCCGAAGAACTTATATTCTGGATGACATTTGGGCGAATACACTTATTGGGGAAATATGTTTAACCACTATCGGAATGGCAAAATTCCCAATACCTAAACTGAAAAATATGTAGGGACCTTCAAAATGCATATAAATGGGATGTGACTTTTAAATGTAGAAAATATCAGTGTTCTGCTCTGCTAAGAGATATGCTACCCCCTGAAACCAACAATGTCTATTTTAGCCACAACAGTTAAAAAAATGCATAGAATCATGAAAAATAGGGAGGGAACTTTATAAGAAGGATAGGATCGACGGGTCCCACCTTAAAGCTTGATTTAGGCCTGGCAATGATAATAGGTTGTGCAAAATTTGTTTCAAATCGGACCTTCCTTTGAATTTATATATTGCTTTGAATTATATATTATACATTGACAATTTGACTTGTGTGATGCTACCAGAAGGAGTGCTCTAGGCTTGGCAGTGATAATAGGTTGATATTGGATTGATAAATATTGAAAATGTCGGGTCGAACTTTTTATACACTCCACCATGCGGTGTGCTTTGAAAATTTGCGAAAATTGGTAAATTGTCTGGTAGTAGGTTGATTATGCTTTTAGAAAATTGAGTTAGGAACCTAAACATACTGAAAATTGTATGGGACCTTTGAAAGGGAACTTTGTAAAAACCTGAACCAATTTTAGACATTTTTGGGGATAATTTTTCTTATTAAACAGGATCTGGGATGTGAAATATCAGCAACATCAAAATATCGAAAATGCGACCTATATAGAAAATATATATGTTAATGGGTTTACAACCCTCTAGAAGCCGGAATATCAAATAAAACATGCCGCTATGTTAAAACATGGACCAATATAAAAACATTTTTCTGCTAACATGTTTTTTACTCTCAAAAAACATGGAATATTGATGGAAAAATGCGAGTCAGAGTTTCAAAAACACAGAAAATGGTATTGGACCTTAATATGGGAGCTATGTTATAATATAGAGTTATATTCTTACTCCAATAATTCACGTTGTTGAGAATAATAGGCTAAAACCATCAAAATACCGAGGGCGGGAATAGTGATGGAAAAATGCGAGTCAGAGTTTCAAAAACACAGAAAATGGTATTGGACCTTAATATGGGAGCTATGTTATAATATAGAGTTATATTCTTACTCCAATAATTCACGTTGTTGAGAATAATAGGCTAAAACCATCAAAATACCGACAAGAGGGCGGGACCTTTATATGAGGGCTATGACGAAACCTTAATCAACAAATATATATAAAAGTATATTTTTATCATTCAAGAATCCAGGATGCCAAATTACCGACACCTCGCTGGGAAAAAATTTTCAAAATACCGAATCTTCAGAATACCGGTATTTATACCCTTAACCACACTGTGGTACAGGTTATTATGTCTTTGTGCATATGTTTGTAACAGGCAAAAGGAAACGAGATAGACACATGGTTCCTTTTGAGAATATGCATAGAATCATTTTCTGAGTCGATTTATGCATGTCCGTCCGTCCGTCTGTCCATCTGTAGATGTTAAATTGTAAACAAAGAACAGGTCGCATTTATAATCCCATTTGTAAGAAATTTGGCACAAGTCACTTATTTGGCCCAAGGACGAACCCTATTGAAAGTGGGAAAACTCGGTTCAGATTTAAATATACCTCCTATATATATTCGTCCGATTTAAGGTAAATTGGACACCAAGGTCCCTCTATATCTTTCGATTTGCATGAAATTTGGTCCAGAGTACTAAATTAGGTCCAGAATGATGTGAGTCAAGTTTCGAGAAAATCGGTTCAGATTTCGATATAGCTCCCATATATAGTTTCGTTCGATTTAAGGTAAATGGGGAAAAAAGTCTCTCTATATCTTTCGATTTGCATGAAATTTGATACAGAGTACTGAATTAGGTGCAGAATGATGTGTGCCAAGTTTCGAGAAAATCGAGTCAGATTTATATATAGCTCCCATATATATATTCGTCCGATTTAAGGTAAATGGGTCTCCAAAGTCCCTATATATCTTCCGATTTTCACGAAATTTGGCATAGGGCACTGAATTGGGTCCAGAATGATGTGTTCTAAGTTTTGTAAATATCGGTTCAGATTTAGATATAGCTCCAATATATATTTTCGTCCGATTTAATGTAAATTGTGCACTAAAGAACCAAAGATTGGCCGACCCGCACACAATTTTGTACAATGTACTGAAGTTACTGTAACCTTGTTTGTGTCAAGTTTTCTTGAAATTGGTTCAGATTTACATATAGCTCCTATATATACTTTCGTCCGTTTTTAAGTAAATGGTGTACTAAAGACCCATAGCTAGGCCGATTGGCAAAACGTACTGAAACTAGTATAAATTAATCTCGGGCAAGTTTCCATGAAATCGGTTCAGGTTTAGATATGGCATAGCTTCCATATATAATTTCGACCTATACATGTTGACTGTAAACCAAATAATCAATGGGTGCTTGATTGATATTACATTTTAAACAGTGAAGCATACCAAATAGCGTGCGTAATGTTTGCTTAAAATCTATTTAGAAAGTATGGAATAGATTGCAGAATGTCATGTGTAAGGATTGATGTTAGTCGGTTTATTTATAGATAATGATCGCATTTTTAAGTACGCTCAATTTCATGTCAATGTGCCTTCGAAAAGATGACATCTGTAAAGATACATATGTAGAATATCCCCAAAGTGGTGAAGGGTATCATATAGTCGGCCCAGTCCGACTTTACTACTTTCCTTACTGGTTTTATATATAGTTCCTACACTTGGACCGATATATACCATTTACAATATCAATCATCTTGGGAGTGCCTTTCTGCAATTCCACAAAACCTGATAAAGAGAGAGAGTCTACATATTTGACCGTGTACCGTACACTAAACATGCAGGCTACAGTTTGCCTGTGATCCTATCTGAATTGCAATTGAGTATCTTCTTATAATACTTTGACCATAAGGAGAATAACAGTGAGTTCAAAATTGGATAATTTTACTAGGAACAACCCTGCTAGTTTTCAGGATTTCCTAGTTCTACACATCTGAAATCTAGGATCAATATCGCCAAATATAAACTTCAATGGCATTTTTTCCAATTGGGTATCTTTTTCGATAGTAAATCTCCCGCAAAGTTCTTTTGGTAAATATATGACTCAGAGCACCAGATCGAACTACTACTCTCTACAAAGGTTGGTATCTTCTTTTTTTGTTTCTGAGCAAAACAAAATAAAGAAAACGAAAAAAACTCCAGCTTAAAAGTAATGCTATGAGAACACCCTGAGAAACGAATCGCATCAGTATTCATCCATCGCACATGGAGTAAATGTAAAACTCGTACAAGTGAACGAGGAGTGAAGCACACATTCAGACATACAATTTACGGGTAT